TTTGTTTTTTGATATTGTATTTGTAAAACCCCAAAAACGTTTTAAAAAATATCCATATCAAGGGAACAGAAAGTGAAACAATTAAGGTGTTTTAAAAGATCAAACGAAATACTTTATGTGACACACATATGTTACGTCATAGTAAAAAAACGTCACTCCTTGTTTTGCAGTGTGTGTCATGTATGTTGAGAAAATGGGCAAGGACGCATTTGTGGAGGTAGGTAGATTTTATTTTTTTTTAACAAAGTGCGCTTACTGCAGTGAGTTTTGTTTCCTCAACGTTTAACGCTAAAACTGCCACCAAGTATGTGTACGCTAACACTCTCTATGCTCTGCTTTTGACCAGTTCGGAAGAACAGAAATTATCTGGAATAATCTCAATCCCGATTTCGTGAAAAAGTTCAAACTTGATTACTTTTTTGAAGAACGACAGGAATTGAAATTTGAGCTGTAAGTATTTTCACCCAAACAAACAATTTTGAGTGATTGATGTTCTATAAAATCTTGAATAAGTGGATTCTAATTTATAACGTTCAAGGAAGATGATGTATTACTCAGACAACGTCACTGCTATCGAAGATGTCATATGTATAGTTACATACATAGTGTACAATTACATTACGAGTCACTGATATGACATTTTACTATTGCAACCTCAATTATTTTATTCCTAGATATGACATGGATTCGAAAGACCACAACCTTCAAAAACATGTGAGTAATCACAACACATAAAACATAATGTAATGTAAATGCAATGTTCAGAAAAAATAATAAATAATGAAACCTGATGATTTGCGGTTTACTATATATATTGATTCAAATACAATAACGGAAGTTTCCCTCGAAGATGGTTTTTATCACACGTAACACCTTTATAATTGTTCCATAATCTTAAGGTTTATTTCGTTTTATTTATCTAATTTTAATTTCATCTCTCTTAGCTCATTTATAAATAATACTAGCTATGATGACGTATCCTGATTACGTCATTATCATTTCACCTACAGGATTATCTCGGTGAAGTGCAATGTAGTCTGGGAGAAATATGTAGCAGTCAAAAATTGAAACTACCAATAAAGTGAGAAAAAGACGTTATTTATTCTTCAAAAAGATTTTGCCCCATAGAGTGCGTCCTCTAGCAATGAAGCGCTTCTGCGACGTTAACAAACAGTGTTGTCGCATTCGACTTGACTAAAACTATCGCAATTTAAATTATTGCTACGCCACGACTACGCCACGACTACGCCACACGACTATGCCACGACTACGCCACGACTACGCCACGACTACGCCACACGACTATGCCACGACTACGCCACGACTACGCCACGACTACGACACGACTACGCCACGGACACATTTTGTTCGCGTCTCTAAAGAGCAGCGTGGAAATGATACATGTCTGTACGTAGTGTTTGAATCACGTTCAATTTGATTTGTAAGCACAATGACGTGTAGCTGCTATACGTGAACGAAATCGATAATGAGCTGCGTAATTATGCAGGCAAGTAAATTATTTGTACGTGTTATTAAATAATTATATTTATTAAATCAATTATAAACGTAATATCATGCACATCAACTCAGCAATCAAATACTATACTATTCAAGGTGCGTAATAAAACAGAAATATTAACCAATATTCACTGTTAGTCGTAAACTTGAATCAATGCATATGCTATTCATGGCCAAGCTAATGATATTTGTTTGCCAGATACAGAAGCAAATCAAATTGCGGCACGATGATTTTATCCGCGGAAGAAGTAGGAGAGTCAAGGGTAAGAATCTTACATTTATTCAATAGACATTATACGTCTAAACGCACTTTATCGTAAACTGGCATGCTTTAAGTTCGATAATCTTTTGTAGGATGTTATATCACTGCAATTCAAGGCGGAAGGACTGGACAAAATGGATTTATTCGGCAAATCGGACCCATTCTTGGTGTTCTACAGACAAAATGACGACGGTCAAAGGTGAGATGTTTGAGTACGTTGAGTCTAAAAGTGTTATTCCCAAATCGTATACAAACCATTTGTTTTACATGGATTACTTATTTTGTCAAGTCAATGTTAATAAATATGTATATTGAATAAACCTAGTGTAAGAAAATCTATGTTCATTCATACGAAATGAACCTTAAGTTCTTATTTCAATTGATGTAAAGCACGTAACCTGCTTATTCTATTAATGCAAGTAAACGAGACAGACATCTAAAACAAAATAACAGCTTTGTGGCTTACGTATTATATATTTTCAAATATGATAGAATTTGAATTTAATATATTCAATTGGCGACACTTCTACTTACTCCAGTTTCGTATAATTGCAATGGTTAATTAATTACCTATCTATTGTTACTTTTTGTATCTGTCAGTTTCACCATTACTCACAAAACAGAAAAAGTGAAGAGGACATTGAACCCAACATGGAAGCCGTTCACTATACCGGTGATGGCGTTATGTGGCAATGACTACGATAGAATACTCAAAGTGGAATGCTGGGATTGGAACATGGGAGGAAGGTATACACTAACATAATAGTGTTTCAATAGATTGGCTGACATATTGTAACTATCATTACGACGGTAACGTTTGAATTTTTAAATAAAAAAAAACGGAAAGAGTTCCTTTTGTACCCACATCCCTAACCCTAACCCTACCCCTTCCTTCCAGCATTCTTCATTTAATTGTACATGCCCCTCCTAAGGACATATATAGTCATCTAGAGGGGGCATATACAAATGAATTAGGTTACTGGAAGTGAGTGTTGGGGTTAGGGATGGGGGGTACAAAAAAACTGCCTAAAAGAACTGCATTGTCATTGATGATCTTCAACTTGCTGGAAAAAAGCAAAATGTAAATATCTTTTAGTAGTCCATTCTTAAAGTAGTTGGCTTCTTTGATTTGACAGCAAGTAACCAGACGTAATTCGGCTATAGTTATCTTTGACTATTGCCCATTCCATGATTGTTTTCAGGTTGTTGGTGAGTTTAGTGATATTCAATTAATCATTCTAAACACAAATGAGGAAAACAATTGTCAGGTTTTTTGTGTTAATAAAAACACTGTACAGTCAGATTATCGACATCTCCAATGAACTAATCGCAAACTTAATTGGATTAGTGATTTCTTTCAGTCACGACCTTATTGGAGAATTCACAACAACAATGAGGCAGCTAACACGGGGAGTCAATATGTCAAATGTATATGAGGTAAGACAGGTCATAATTATAGAACATTTACTATCTTAAATTACTGCTAATATAGCCATTGTTGTCAAACTCAACCTATAACGCATTATGTAACAAACAATAACACAAAATAGCACAAAAGGCATAAACTATATTGATAAATATTAAAGCGGGAGAGTCGTCACCTGCGCATGCGTCAGATGGTCATAGCGTGTCATTGTGTACAAACAAGCGTCTACCCTTGTGTCTTTGCGTTTTTATCGTGTGTTGTTATCGTCGCTTGGGACTCAATTCCCGCGCGTGCGCAGGTGACGACCCTTCCGCTTTAAATTGAGTTGTATATTCAACAACTACCTTAATACATTATTTATATTCGAAATAGTTTAATTATTTGATGAATAAATTAACAATTAATTAACAGATACTCATATTTTTACTTGATAGGTCATCAACTTCGAAAAGAAAAAGAAAAAATCAAAATATAACCATTCAGGAACAGTATTACTAGAAAAATGTCAAGTTCATCCAAGGTATTCATTTCTGGATTATATACGCGGAGGAACGGAGATCCACACAACAATAGCAATTGATTTTACGTCATCCAACGGTAAGTTGTCACCACATACAGCAATAACTAGAGTAATCAGACCTTGTATGCGACCCGTATCTCAATGAAAACACCAGACTGCATTGTAACAATGGTCAGACACATGAATAATGTTTTTTACATATGCTAGGAAAACCAAACGAGCCGGGCTCTTTACACTTTCTTCACGGGGACACGCCGAATATTTATGAAAAAGTGCTTCGGACAGTGGGACGTGTACTTGAAGATTACGACTCGACAAAAAAAATCCCCGGCCTCGGTTTCGGAGCAAGAATTCCCCCCGACGGAAAAGTGGCGTTTGATTTTTTTCTGGTGAGTGTAAATATCAGTGATTGTCCATCGAATAATTGTGTTGCTAGACTACAACAACGCATGCTTAATATTCATAAACACTGTCTGTTTCAAAGAATAACCATGCTTCACTTCTTCTCACACCGAACGCTTGAAACCCAGAATTATGCAAATTATATTCCATGCGTGTCCCATGCGATCTTTATTTCAGAACGGCCATCCTAACAATCCATACTGTCGAGGTATTAATGGTGTTATCGATGCTTACAAACATGCCCTCAACACTGTTTATCTCCACGGACCAACTAATTTTGCACCGGTAATCAGACACGTCAGCACGTAAGTCACATAATTGATTTATTTCCAATGTACCCATTTGTTCTTGACAAGTGAACAAATGACATAATTTATGTACCCCAGTCTACGATAGGGGAGGGGTTCCACTATTCGTAAACAGCTAAAACAGGAACATGTTTTGCTATGCCTTTATCAAATCAATATAAACTTTCTCAGCATATGCGCCATTTCCATGCTGTGCTGTCTACTGTGGTTGGCGGAGTAGTTTTGCAACTCCTCACTATTAAATTTATTGTGTTGGAAACGGGGGGGTGTTTATCGCAATCATTTATCGACTGTGAAAGGTCTGTGGAGGAGGCGCACACAAAAATCACTAAGAAGAGAGTGATAAGTCGCCAGTGTTAAAATTGAATAACTGATTAAAATATAGTGACTGTCTGTTAATACCATACTGCGCATACCTGTCTCATACTTCAGTTTGATATGTCGATTTATCTCAACAAGGTTTGCCGATAATCACAAAGAGGGTCACCACTATTTTGTTCTTTTAATCATCACCGACGGAAGTATTTCTGATATGGCTCGAACAAAAGATGCGATTGTTGAGGTATGTATATGGAAGGCAGTATAAGGAGCAAAATGTGTTTATGCGTACCACCCGATTCATTCGGTCTTGTCACTGTCACTGTCCAACTCCAAAATGATCAGGCTTGTTCTATCACTACTAACGCCGTTCAATGACAGACCTCTAAATGATGTAGATATAGCGGTAACCATTGGCATTCGTATCCCAAAGGAGACCACTAAAATGATTCTAAAATACCCATGTCATCTTTTCTAACATTAACGGGGCACCAGATGCAAATATTAATAAGCTTGATAAGCCTACACAAGTTTACAAAACGCATTAGTGTTCTAGTGATTTAATGCTATGTTTTTTATAAAAAATCATGATTACGCTACAATGTTAACAGTGCCATATAGTCGACTTGTTAGGCGAACAATTTCAATATAATGCATACGATTGTCGAGTCAGTTCGGATACCGTTACCGTTTTATTTATCTTCGCAGGCGGCTACACTTCCAATGTCAATTGTCATCGTGGGTGTCGGAGATGAAGATTTCTCAGGTATGCATAACACATTTCGGTCTATATCGATTCATTGTATTCGTAGATAGTCGATAATTGTGTTTCAATGTAAGAATAATGTTTTATATTTTTCAGCCATGGAAGAATTAGATGGTGACAATGTACGAGTTACGGGGTCCGATGGTACTGCGGCTGTACGTGATATAGTCCAGGTATATGTAGCAATAATCACATGTCCTTGCGACTTGGTGTGCTTGTTTGTCCTGTAAACTTGATTGACATTTTTCCCTGGCATAACTTTGGTACATCACGGCGGGTGTGGCATGCCAGCAGCAGATGCTTAGCCTACACGTGCACCTGGTCTGACTCCCTTGCGGGGGGGGGGGGTTGTGATGTCCCGCTTCCATCGATTTTGTCAGTATATTTTTTCTAGACTACTGATATTTGGAGAATGGCTTAATGGTACTACTATAATTATTAATTAATTATGGGTGACCCTATAATATCATTTAAGCACATGAATATTACAAAATAAGTTTAATTAATCTGATATTATAAGGTCACGAACTATTTATATATTCCATATATCCATTTCACAACTTTTAACGCAAAACGTCAGAAACGTAATTTATGAGCGCCCTCTCATGTCTCATTTACATAAACGACCGTTGTTCTTTGAATACCTATTACCATTAGTTTATCATCATACGGCGAATGAATGTGTTTAACTAAAATATTCAAATAACTTCTTCTAATATATACTGTGAACCATCAACAGATTGAGTGTCGGCGCATTTTGAGATTGTTATCCATAACGGCAATGGTTCAATCTACTTATATGGACCAATCAGATTACACTAAAATTATTAGTATACAATCAGTGGGATAAATATAATTAATGCAAATCTTTGTCACATAGAACTGGCATTGTATATTGAATGTCGCGTTGTTTTCTTTTATCTTCTACAGTTTGTATGTTTTCGTGACTTTTTAGACGCCAACAACGACGTCAAAAGCAAATCGCGTCTTGCCAGAGAGGTGTTGGAAGAAATACCGGACCAGTTTCTGGATTGGATGACAATGCACGAAGTCAAACCCAGAAATTTGCCAACAGTGAAACCTATGTCATACAATACCATTGTGTAACAATGATATTTGTTATTATAGGCTGCCATCATAAACCGCAAACTTTGTCATCCGCCGAATGAACGAAACTGGCTACTCCTTAATCCAAAAACGGGGCTGTCTAGGTGAACGAATGCCAAACATGTGCCAGTATCAATGTTGTTAGCGTGTGGCCATTTGTGACCAATCTTCAAAACACTATTGTCACATTTTCTATCAACTGTTCATAATACAGCAATAGTGACGCTATAAACAACCTGTGAACATATTCAGAACACATTCACTTGTGATATAACATAATGAGAATTACTTTCAACTACGACTTCCGTTCGAAACCATACTAAAAACATGTATAATCCCATATTGAACGATAATATTTCGTGATTCTAAATCAATACGTATATACAAGTTGCAACTGTGAATAAAACAAATGGTTGCTGTAACAGAGTTGGTGGTTCTGGTTCTATGTGTTTAATACTTGCCGTAATATACATGGTGTTTAATACTACCTGCTGCTAAGCTTAAATAACGCATCCATAAATAAATAAATTCCATTTATCACAAAGCTGAAGATATATACTGCAAAGTATTACAATAAGGTCTATATTTTTTTAGTATGTTTTGTTTTGATATACGTTTTATTTCTAGCTTATCATTTATTGTCTCTACGCTTTTTATCAAAACCCAGAATTGATAACATATTTTTTTGTATTTTGTACAATATATTCGGTCGTAATAAATGTATCCAACACATATTTTCATAAACAATCTTAATTTTTGACTAAATAGACATATACTGTAAAATACTTTATTTTAGCTGGAATTAATTTTCACTGAAAAAAACATTTCGGGTGTTTTGTATGGAATTAATTTTCACTGATTTTTGACAAGTTGAATGTAAAATATAGGAAAAATGTATATTTTCTGGATTTTATTTTCACTGAATTATTCCTTCAGCGAAAATTAATTCCAAGCGAAAATAAAGTATTTTACAGTATTTGAGCTTATATAAGTTCATACAGCTTTTTTCATGCAAGACAAATAAATGGCAAAAATATGGCGAATAAGAAAATTAACTTTTTTTCTGTAATATTCTTGTGTAATCAGTAATTATGAAAATAATTTATGAATGCATAAGGAAGACATTTTGAATTATTCTTAAAGGGCGGTGGTTGTCACACCGCGTCCTGTTCGATATGGGACTCATAGCGACGTATACAACGCGTGTAAAATACATTATTTATTTACATGAAATTCGAACACGCGCTGCGCGACGACCACCGCATATAAATTTCTGAATTATCTTGTCAAAATCATTTTTTTCAGTTTTTTTCTCTCAAAAAACGAAAAAAATTCTCAATGTCGAAAAAGGAAAATCTTTATCGTAGTGTTATAAGTGAAAATATATGTCCGGGACATGGCCGGGACATAGACTTCCTAGATTAGACTGTCACAATTAATTATACGAGTTCCCGGAAATAAACAGACAGCTTGATATTCTAATCTACACTAAGAATAGCTATATATTACAAAACTAATTGCTATAAGCACCAGTCTTTCGGAAATATTACATATTAGTAAAGTCACTTCCCAATATCAAAAAAATGTTGATTGCCATCTCACATCACAGTTCAATAGTCTCTGTATAACACAGTTTGACACAGCCCGAAAATTTACGTAAAAATTTCATTAGCTCGTATATAAAACGTACGTCAATATATACATTGTCTTTCAAGTTAACAATAATTCTATGGACGAGGAAATCGAATTGACCAATAAAGTCAATCAAATGACCAGAAATACCGGTGGAGCTCACTCTTTCACTCTTGACCAATTGATGTACAAAATTCGATTCTCGCTACTAGCGTAGTAGTTGATACCAATTCATCTAAGCGTCACTCAGACACATAGAATCACACTCAGCTGGCGCACACGTGATAATAAAATAAATGCGATATTTAGTATACTAGTATGGGAGCCGCCATCTTGAATGCGGCATAAAACTAAATAAGAGACAAGCTGTGAAACGCGTTTTTCAGATTCCTACAAATCAGGAAAAAATGCCAATCTTTCACAGAAATACGATCCGTTGGGGGTAATATTAAGCCAACTAATAACAAAGTTCGGCCGAATTCGTCGTTTTTGTGTGGGGAAATCCCCTAAATACCTAATTACACGAAGAACATAGAACACTTTCCTAGGGGTATTTGAAACCGAAATTGTCATCTAACTTGTAAGGCCGTCGCTGATTGGCTGCTGAGCTGGAATGACAATTGACGTGGCGTGCAAAACTAGGCATACGAATCATATTTCTTATTCAATTTCTCGCATTTAAAATCAACTGTGTTCATATTAGTCCAAGTACTGTAAAATGACTAATTTTCACTGGGTTTAAATTTCACTGATTTACCATTTCAGGCATATTCAGTGGGTTTTAAATTCACGGTTTCGTCATTTAGATAATGTGTTCTATGCTAAATTTTACATATTCACTGTGTTTTAATTTAGCGCAATTTTCCAGTCAGCGAAATAAGCTAAATTAAAACCCAGTGAATAATTAACCCCTTTACAGTATATAATCATAACATACAGTGGTAATGCCCCGGTCACAATTCTCTCACAAGTCATTGTTAATGACACAGTCCCCGTTGCAATTAGGGGAAATGTTACTAGTATTCCCGTAATGATGAAATCACGTACGAATGTTTGGTCCACACGACGGTTGCAGTATTATTTAGAACCAATAACTTGCATGTTTAAGGAAGACATTATAAACAAATACTGCTTGAAAATGAATTGCTTACTAATTGCGTGATTTAACTGCTTTCCCTGGTAATCATGCGATCCTGCCATTGTAGAGTTTTGATTTGATGCGTGTTAAAAATGGAGGTGAAGGGACATAGGTGCTGCATATGCTGCCACTCCCCAGCCTGTTGATCTTTGAAATGGGTTACTGCTGTATACTGTAAGTTTGCTAGGCGACTGTATAAACAATAATTGTAAAAATGTAAATAGGTGAATTTAAAAATCCCGAAGCCCTCTGAATTGCGAATGATTAACCCCAAAACGGCGTTCCCGATCGGAAAGGTACATGTGAAATGAAATGTATCCTTATAGCACCATTGCCTTACTGCTGTCTGACATTCCATCGTTGTCGTGTGTGAACCTGGACTATTTGTCTACCACATCCCTAACACTGCATTAAATTATTGCTTTATGTGGCAAGTCGATTATATAAAACTACATGCGGGATGCGAGAAATAATAATAATAATAATAATAATAATAATAATAATAATAATAATGATTATTACATATGTACTGCAGTTTATTTTGATTCGTCCCTGAAATCAAAATCGGTATTTCCACAACCCATATGCAAATGAGGTCTGAGAGCAAACAAAGTAGTCCCTTCAGGAGTACAGTTTTTCGGAATAAACAGTATTTAGAAGTACGATATTTTCCCCTTGGGGTACATGAATATACTTGCCGAGTGAAATGAAATTTGAACAACAGTAATGGTACTTTTAGGCAGTCACTTATTTTGGCCCAAACTAATTTGCATATCACCCATGCAATAATGTTTTCGGTATTTTCACGGTCGATATGCAAATGAACATCATTGACGCTGCAGGTCGGCGTCTTCTACACCGATCTGACGCATATCGCGCAAGGTGTGTCGGGAGTTTGTTCGAAATTTCGAATGTTTAGAAGTGAATCGTCGGCCGGCACGTATTTTACGGGTATATCAAATCGTTTCAGGGGCATGTTTACTAAAAAACGATAAATAAAACTTAGAAATATTGTAAGGACAAACTGGCCCCAAAATTGGACAAATTTGCAATAAGTTTACGCTGCTAATGTCTGGTTCGGAAGGCGTTCTACGTGTGATTTACTTGCGCTCAAGGACGTTCTATTTTCGAACGAGTTGAAACCGGAAATAACGCAACTACTTTCGAACTTCAAACACAAATTTTATTATCGTTATTATGTGTTAGTTTCTGTTGTTTCAAAAACTGAATTATGTATGACAATAATATTCCACTAAATAAACAAAAATATGTGATTAAAAGGCAACCCAAATTGTAAAAAGCAATATCAAGTTCCGCGTATAAACACTGTTGTAAAGAGGCGGCGGAGCGGAATTTTAGCCAAAATCGGCTAGTAAGGCGTAACCTTGTAAGGCGCCATGTGACACAGGTTTGTGCTGGGACAGCGCTTCCGGTGACGACACAACGTGGTATTTTCATTAGCTACCGAACTATTTTTATTTTGTAAACACATTTTCGTCTGCTATTTTTATCCAGTCCAAATCGTTCAACAACATTTTTGGCATGTCAGGTGTTCATCACATGGAATACTACGATTGGGAGAACTTAATGTATGTTGACCACCTGGAGTTTTATAAACCTTGAAGGGCTCTCAGAAGATCCACCAGCAGTAAAATCAGCGATTACTATGCAGCCGTATGGAACGCCGTCACTGTCTTATGTGGTTGTCACTAAGTATATGGCGACATTGCTGCATTATATAACGAGTTGCTTTTAATATATGATGAAAATACGTTTATATATGGTGTCGTTTGACCAATACATGGCGACATTGCTTCTATATATGATGGTGTGTTTTTAATATATGATGACAAAACGTTTATATATGGTGACGTTTGACCAATATATGGCGACATTGCTTCAATATATGATGGTATGTTTTTAATATATGATGACAAAACGTTTACATATGGTGACGTTTGACCAA